GCCTGCCGGCCTGCTGGGCAGGGGCAACTTTCAAAGCCCCTTTGTTACAGCCTCCCACAATCAGTGTACCCCCAAGGCTGTGGCATGGGGGAGGTGGGCAGTGCCAGCAGGGGAGCTCCCAGGCAGGGCCCTGAACCAGAGCCCCCAACACCACATTTCTCACAGCAGGGCTCGCGGCCCGTGGCCCTGCTGACAGCTGACCGGAGTCCCGCGGGGAACCCCCAGAGGCTCACTGTGCCTCCTGTGTCTCCCCCAGGGGGTAGAGGTCGGGCCCCTCGAGCTTGAGATCAAAAGGCTGACCAAGCAGCTGGACGAGCAGAGCACCAGTGTGACGCAGGCCCAGGTGACCTGGCTGCGCCTGCAGCAGGAAATGGTCAAGGCCTCCCAGGAGCGGGAGGAGCAGCTGCAGTCCACCTCCATGCTCCAGAAGGAGATGCACATCCTGGAGCAGAAGAAACTGCGGATAGAGAGTACGAGCTGCTCTGGGCCTGAGGCTCGGTGGGGAAGCCGGGCGGGGTCCCACGGGGGCACGTCTCACACCGAGAACAAGAACAGCATCCCGTCATCCTTGGTTTGCGAACACAGACCACTGCTGCCCAGCTGCCCAGGTGCAGCCACAGGGTTGAGAAGATTTACTGAATTTGTCTGAGTTCACAGATTGAAGCCTACCCTGGAGGTCACCTCCCTGCCAGAGCCAGGAAGCTTGACAGGAGGTGCTGCTCCTGGAGTCAGTGGGGGGTCCTGCCCACGTCCACCCTGCTGCAGCAGGGTACAGTCCAGGCGTCACCTCCAGCTGGGCTTAGACAACTGTCCTGTGGGGGTTCCCCCACTGCCTGCTTGGCGCGGGCAGTACCTAATACCCTAGGGTCTAGCACAGTGCCAGGTGCCTGAAACGGAGCATGGGGGAGTCTTCCAAGGCCCCACATGGCCACCTACTGGGACATCTTGGTCCCATCTAGGCTTGGATCAGGGTCCATGTGGGTCAGGCCTGCCACAGTGAGGCCTCACGGGCAATGTTGGCAGGGCACATGGGTGCCAGCTCCTCTGAGGCCTTGCTGCCTTCTTGGCCTGCTATTGGGTTGCATCTGCCAGAGAGCCAGGAGCACCAACACCGGCCTAGAGCTCCTAGTCAGACAGAAGGGTCCTAAAGCAAGATCTGGCTGAAACACAGGCCAGGAGGTGGGGCGAGGCCAACTGGGGTGGGGGCAGTGGGGTGGGCTCAGATGACGCAGCCTTGGCATGGTCAGGGCCAAGAAAGAGGAGCCAGGAGTAGACTGGGGAGAAGCGGCCAGTTGACCAAACAGTGCACTTCTGATGTCCCCTTCCCAGCTTAACACTGTGGCTAGGGTGGGGGCAACAGGCCCCCCTTTCCTGGAGACTCAAATGTCTGAGCATAAGCCACGTCCCCTCTGTCCGAGGAACTGCTGGTGTTGGGGAGGCCTGGCCCTCCCGTACTCCACTCCCACTCCTCCTGGCTGTCCCCACTCAGGGTCCTGTCTGGGTCCTTAGTGCCAGGGATGAGTTGCAGGCGGGGTGGCACAGGGAGCTCCAGGGGGGAGCAAACCCGGCCCATGTCACGATATCGCGGCCTCCATTCTCTGCCACAGACAAGATCAACCAGGAGAAGAAGGAGCAGAAGGAGACGGACCGCCACATGAGGGAGCTGGACAAGGACCTAAAGAAGCTCAACGTACTGATGAGCCAGAGCCGGAGCAGCTCGGAGGAGCTGCGGCAGGGCAACCTGGTGACCGAGCACGAGTTTGTGCGTACACTGAAGGTAGGCCGTGTCTGCTTGGTCCCCGGGGTGCGGGGGACAGCACCAGCAAACGTGTCCTCCACGTGGTGTCCAGCCCTGGGGCACGGGGGACATCACCAGCACACGCACGCACAGGTGTCCTCCACGCGGTGTCCAGCCCTGGGGCGCGGGGGACAGCACCAGCACACGCACGCACACGTGTCCAGCCCTGGGGCGCCGCACCCACTTTCCTTGGAGAAGCTCAGAGGGGTTCAGAAAGCTGCAGCCCTGCCACCTGTGACGGCTGTGGGGGCCCCAAGCCTGGCGCCAGGGATGCCCCAGCCCTCCCTCCCCTGTCCTGTCCCCCACCATGCAGGACGCCGAGAGAGAGACCATCGAGATGCAGGAGAAGCTGGACCAGCTCAAGGAGGAGAAGGCGGCCACCCTGAGCAACCTGGTGGAGGCAGAGTAAGTCTCGGGCTCGGCCATGCGTCTGTGGCATGTTGCTGCACCTGCAGACGCATTCAGGCACATCTGTCCTTCATGTAGAGCCACCCAGGGAGTGGCTCTGGGACCCTACCGAGCCTAACGCTACACTGGTCTAGCTGGTCCACCACCCGCCACCAAACCAGGTGTCCCTGGAAACTGAGTGTATTTCTTTCGGACAAACTTTTTAAAAAGACGTATTGTTTTTGGCCAGGCAATTGGCTCATGCCTGTAATCCCAGCACTTGGGAGGCTGAGACAGGTGGATTGCCTGAGCCCACAAGTTCAAGACCAGCCCGAACAAGACCAAGACCCCCTCCATCTCAAAAAAAAAAGATAGCCGGGCCTTGTGGTGGGCACCTGTAGTCCCAGTTACTCTAGAAGCTGAGGCAAGAGAATCG